TGATCAGCAAGGAATTATGTGTTTTGTCTGAATAGTGGATTGATAGTTGGATTTAATGTTTAGGAGGAAAGACCAATTATTTACTTCTTTTGCAATTTTGTCTGGCCTCTCCCCCCAGGAAAAGAACTTTTAGTCTTGTATATTTGCCTCTGAGAGATCGTTAGCAACTGTCAAAGATGGGCTTCTCAGATCTCAGATCAATGACCGAGAAAGAAGTTCTTTTCAATTTCTATTTTATTCTGCTGTTTCAATCACAGGGGATTATTGTGAACTAATATCTCTGATTGACTATTTAATTGGAATTGAGTATACATTGTATCCCAAATTCATGGTATAATTTTGTCTAGTCATGCCTATGTTGTGATTTTAATGTCTGCTATTACTTTCTTCTTCCTTTCTTCACTCAAAACCTGACAACCAAATCTGATAAAAGTGTTAAAGTAAATTGGTCTGACCTCACAGGACAATACAAATGTTCTGTGTATGCTTTTCTAAAATTGAAAACCTATACTTTCAAGTTCAGTGCCATTTGGAACTTGAGAGTTCTTGCAGAAGATACAGAAGGTATTCTTTCAACTTCCTTTTGCAGTGTTCAAAATTCAGGATAAATATCATCGGGTCTTTGTCATTATCCTTACCGTATATCGCTGTGTATAAGGCGAGTATTTTGTACCTATAATTAGGTGGCTTTCAAGGGGGGTTGTCTTATACACAGGGTTGAAGAGTTTTGATGTTTTTCCCCTCAACACAGACATAACTGAGCACGTAACACCAGAAATACCATGTCAACAAATCCATAATGAAGTATGCAAAGTAATCATGTAGTTACACTGTCTGGTTATAGTTTCATTATATATCTGGACTTACCTTTGTAATCTATTTTATTAATTTTATTCAAAATTTATTCAATATTGTTTATTTTCATTTTGGCAAAATCGTATGTGAAGTGATCGGAAGACCGCACAACTCACTGTTATTTACAGCAACTACGGTCATATTACCACTATTGACACCTTGAAACAAACTTTAGTGAATAGAGAATGGATATATATATCTTAAATGCCATACTTTGACTCGCTGAAAGTCATATTTGTTGTAGTTTGACTATTATTTGTCAGCATAATGTTTTCACTATCGCTAGGCTTGTGTCATCTTATACGTGGGGGTCGCTTTATAGACAGCGATATACGGTATGTCAAAAGATTTAAACGTCTGAAGATTAATTTCTAACACTGCAAAGTACTCATAGTTTCCATGTCAATGAAGTTGAAGTCCACACCATTCCTCTTCACATTTCAAAACAGAATATAAACTACTCAAAACAACTTAAAGAACACCCACAATTGGAGGGCAGTGTATTGCCCACCAGCCATGGCAGATTAACTGTAGTCATATGAAAAAATATCAGGTGTTCTTTACCTTCTTTTATAAGTTTATTTCAAGTGGCTTGTTGATAGTCTCAGCTGGAACCTAGTGACTGAGCCTGGATGTAGACCAGCCATTCTATGGTTGCTGAAACAGCCTTCCTGCCCAGCAGACAGTTGTTATTAGGAAAGAATGGCGATGTGAGTGGGAGCTGGTGTGACTGTAGATGGTTGTCTGCGAGTGTTGCTACTCCTGTCAACATGTGTATCATGTTATTGCGAGTCTAGCTGTACTTAACAGCTATAATAAAGAAATCCCAAATACTTCCTGTGTCTGGTGTTTTAACTTACTGGGACTACATGGAATATATTATCTGTTGTAGTTGGTCAGAACATGGCGCTCTGCAACAAGTAGACCATTATCTACACTAGAACATGGTGCTCTGCAACAAGTAGACCATTATCTACACTAGAACATTGGGCTCTGCAACAAGTAGACCCTTATCTACGCTAGAACATGGTGCTCTGCAACAAGTAGACCATTATCTACACTAGAACATGGTGCTCTGCAACAAGTAGACCATTATCTACACTAGAACATGGGGCTCTGCAACAAGTAGACCCTTATCTACGCTAGAACATGGTGCTCTGCAACAAGTAGACCATTATCTACACTAGAACATGGGGCTCTGCAACAAGTAGACCATTATCTACACTAGAACATGGTGCTCTGCAACAAGTAGACCATTATCTACACTAGAACATGGCGCTCTGCAACAAATAGACCATTATCTACACTAGAACATGGCGTTCTGCAACAAGTAGACCATTATCTACACTAGAACATGGTGCTCTGCAACACGTAGACCATTATCTACGCGAGGACATGGCGCTCAACAAAGTTGTCTGCGCCAGAATGTGGCACTCCATGGAAGATAAAATCTGCTATGTAATTCTATATCTGGCAAGAGCATGGCACTCTACAACTTTCTCATGAAGAATCTTATCTACTATATAACTCGACAGTTGGTCAGAATGTGGCCCCTGTGACCATCCATACCAGAACATGGTATTACAAATTCTTTAGGAGAACATTTCCCACACTGGAATGTGACACACTGGAATACTATCTACTATGTTTATCTATATGCTTAAAAAACAAGGCAATCTACAACGTTCTGATGGAGAATATTGTAACAAAACTTCCTGTTCTATCAAAGTTAACACGTACTTCAAAGATCACAGGTACAGCCTTTCATGACAGTGGGACAACTCCCAGCCATAACACTAATTTCAGGCATGGTACCAGCATCATGTTGTATGTTATTAGGATGACATACCTTTATGCAGTGTTTTTCCAAGTTACAAAATCAGTAAATTCCAACTTGAGTCACGCCAGTCACATTTACAATCGCCATCTTGGATTTTCTTACGTCACGTCTGCGTATAATGTGTTCCGAGGTCACCTATATATAAACAGACCTGTCACGGTTAACTTTGACAGCAGCAATATTGACTTTAACAAGCAAGGTAGGATTCCAGAGTTACGTCACAGCTAAATTCTATTTTTTTTGCCTGAGATTTTTATTGTATAGGTTGTGGTTTTATAGGGAGGTTGTCTGATGATGCCATGACAGTTAAGGGTTTTTATATACCGATGTTACATGGATCGTTCTAGAATCGATCCTATATGTTTAATTCCAAGCTTTGATTAGGATTTGACTTGATGCTGACATCGCATTTTGACAACTCGTGGAGGTGTGGCCGCATTGTTTTTCATTCTGGGTCACATGACTTCCAGAAAGTATTGATTACATGGATCCATTTCCGGTTGCAGCCAAGTTCGTACACTTTCAAGTTTCAAAGTTTATTGTTCAGTTTAATTGTTTTAGCAGTTCAGATATATCAATCGGCTGTGACTGGTGGCACCATCCATTTATTTTAGTAGTATATCCACGAGTAATTATCGACCAGTCTTTGGTCACTCTGTTACAATTTTATCTACTATATAACTCAAAATGTCAGAATGTGGTGCTTTGTGACATCTGCAGATGAAGAGATGCTGCTCCAGATTCGGAATACATTTTAGTGTGAAAAATCTCCATGAACATGGTCCTTCCACAAGTCTTCAGCAACCCATGCTTGCCGTAAAAGGTGACTATGCTCGTTGTAAGAGATAACTAACGGGATCGAGTGGTCAGACTCTCTGACTTGGTTGATGCATGACATCGTATCCCAATTACGTGGATCGATGCTCATGATGTCAATCACTGGATTATCTGGTCCAGACTCGATTATTTACAGACCGCCATCATATAGCTGGAATATTGCTGAGTTTGGCATTAAACAACAAACAAACAAACAAACAAACACAACAAGTGGACAGACATAATGTTCAAGCGGAGCATACACATAAACTCACAGATCATAGAATTTCATCAATTTCATGAAAGAAAACAAAGACAAGTTTTCAGCGTTTTATGCATTAACAGAACAACCAAAGAATAAATAAATATGAATATTTAAAACCAATGATAATGAAACTAATTATGCAAACTTCATAAAAACTTCAAAGAGCACCACAGGCTACAGCTGAATGGCCAGTCGCTCATGCATGTTGATTGCGATGTAGTAGCTGTAACCAGACTGATTCAGTAAATAACTCAATCAGTGTTTCGAGCAACTTTTATAAATATTCAAGCATTATCACGACAGGGACACCAGAAATGGGCTTCACACCTTGTACCCAGGAATCAAACCCAGAATTTCGGCGTGACGAGTAGATGCTTTACCCACTATGCTACCACCATCGCACTCAGACTTTAAATTATCATGGTATTATGGTCGTTACAAAATCATGCATTATTTTGACTATTGGAATCTGAGTAAGAGTGAGTTTAATTTAACGCTGCTTTCAACAGTATTTCAGTTATATCGCGGCGTGTCAGCTTAATGTGGGAGGAAAGCCTGAAGTGATGCAGGTCTCAGATGTTTACCACATCGGTAAAACCCACGAGCATGGGTATGGTGCTGACAAACCTAGAAACATGATCTGGGCGAACTGGTATTTGAACCCACAATCATAGGTTTCTGGCATGCACTCTGCACAGCGATTTGTGGTGCCTCAGATGACTGGGTCACCGTGCCCTCAACATGAATCTGATAAAAAAAATAAAAAATAGTATGCCTATCAAACATCCCTCTCTATATATAAACATGTATTTATATACTGAACAAAAAAGTTAGTGATTATGAATATTTTTTTAAAGTGAAGACAGTGTGTACAGTATATAAAAATATTTAATGATCCATAACTTTGTTCAGGATATAGAGTCTATATATAGAAAGATGTTTGATAGTAAAAAGGCATACAGTTCCATTGTTTATATCGGAACTCAGATTCCTGTGACTGTACAGAACATCAGTTACTGTATTTGACGTAATAAGCGCCCGGGGCGCTCTCAAAATTAGAAATAGGGGGATCTTATAGAATATGATTTTGGTGAAAAAAGATTGTAAATTTCGTAGTTTATGCTGACAGCCTGAAATGATACAAAAGGAAAGTATGTGTGTATCATACACAACACATATATTTTCCAGAATTTAACTGCCCATAATTAAGGGTGCATATAACACACAAGTGCGTATTATACACGAATAAATAAGTCTTGTGTACATTGTTCAATCGTAAGGAGGTAATTGGTATTGTTCACTAGCCAGTATATTAGCAAATATCAGTGTGGGCGCTTATTACGTCGAATACCGTACTTTTGAATCATCAGAAACTTACATTATCTAATTCATGAAACAGACATATTAATAATTTAATAACTCACAGCTCATGAAATAAGCAAATAATTCATTCATCGGATTGCTAACAATTTCATTTATATGACAGCTTCTAGAACAGAAATACTTTCAGCGCCGATGTCTTGCAGACACAGAACTATGGAACACATTAGCTAATACCTCGTTGCTTGGGGACTGACCGTTTGAGGTCCTGGTGGGGTGGGGGTTATGTGGGATGTGAATATTTTTAACAAATATATACTGGTAACAAATAAATTTTCCTCCAGTTTTACTCAAAAATTGTTTCTTGGACATGCCCGGAAACAAAAATGTTTTGTTAAAAAATTTGTTCGATAGAGAAAACAATCACATGCCTCGAAACAGTGACTGAATAACTATTGTCTCTAAAAATCCAAGCATCCCACACCCACCCCAAAGAATATAAAACTGTCATTTCCTTGTCCAATACATTTCATCACAAAAAATCTGTAATCCAAGAATCAACAAGAAGATGTCGTCATCCACACGTCCCGCCAAGTTTACTATTGTCAATAAATAGTTTTGATTTCTTAGAGAATTTGATTGGCACCACGTCCTAACTAGCCTAATACAGTTGTGACGTGTCATGGAAAAACAAACAAAGGTTTGGCATTATAAAAAAAAAGTACCCAAATTGGAACATGCTGCCTTCGAAAAAATGCAAAGCATGAAATATGTCATAAATTCCAGAACTTCAGCAAATGCCTGATGTGCATACAAAGTTTCACAAATACACATGAAATGGTTTGTAAGTAATGCTTTTGAAACAAACCCTACTCTCACTTGAACAAACACCAAGAAAAAAAATGAAGCAAGGGACATAACTCTGCAATATACTCATTCTTAATGGCGTTTTTCAGACTTATTTTCATCATGATGCATTCAAAATGTCATCTAAAGTGGTTTCTGAAAAATTGGCCGTACTGTGCATCATGTTCAAAAGACAATCCAAATGCCATAACTTTTCAAAACATTAATTTTCAATTATGGTTTTCAAACTCTCATCAACATATTTATCCCTTATGATGTATGCAAACTGTCATCCTTCTTTCCATAGTGGTTTCCGAGCACCCACACATGCACGCACACTCATGCATGTCACTATATAAGTGCAATAATCTTTAACACAACATAAAACCCCATTTCACCTGGCACGCCACATAACATAATGATCCCACAACCAAACTACTGGAATACTGCAAAAGGCGGTAAACTGTCTCACTCACTCACTCACTCGAGGAAACGTGATGCTGCTCTCAATGTATCCTGATTACCCACTGTATATCATACATCTCCATTCTAAAAATAGAAATAGTTGGACTCATTCATTATTCTAATGAACTGATGCAAGGCTAAAATATCAGTCCAATCGACTAGAGCCCCTGTGCAAGAGAAATTCTGTGTAAAATTACTTATGACGAAGTTCTGCTTACACATGGGTCTGGACTATTTATCTGAATACTATGGAGAAGTATAATTTATTGGATGATCAAGGATGCTATCAATTTAGCTAACGGAGCAACCATTTGATTTTCGGGGGGGATTTTGATATCAGTATATTTTCTTAAATCTGTAGAAGCTCAGTTATTTTTTCCAACATAAACAGGTGTTCAATTCTACTTTTTTTTAATAAGTATAAATAACGAACTGTGTACTTTGGACTCTTTAATAGGGTCTGCAAGAAAAGGCCACATGATTTTTTTTCCCTACTGTACAAGGCATATATGTAAAACAAATTAAGTATAATGATTATTTTTTTTATAAACACTGGGCCCCCTGAAAATGAAATGATTGCTCCCTTAAAGTGAGATATGACTTGAGGAAGGAATCAAATGATATGTATTCTCTGATTAAACTGGCAAATCTATTATTCCACTGAATTCAATTATGCAATTGTACCAATAAAGCAACAGTGTATATCCTATATAAATAAATGCATTGTCTTCATATACCATAAAATGACCACAAAAATAACAATGTGTAAAGCTCTATACTGAAACAATAAAGTGGTCTCCTTCATCATGTAAGATAAATGGCGCCCTCATGATGAGGTCAGAGACGAGGTCGGCGATGAGATGGCATCAGAAGCACTGATCCTGCAATCGTATGACTAGGAAGGCATTTGCTGCAAACCTCCAGTACACAAACGCGGCAAGTATAAGTGTGTGCCAGCATTGGTGACTTGAACCTACGTAGTCCAGGTGACCTGCAACAGAAAACAGCAGCTCACACAGTGTAGGCACAGATCAGCAAGCAGCAAGACTTCATGGAGGTCCATCTATTGATCGCTTCTGGAGGTGTAATATGGTAGGGTCGCGATACGATTTTGTTTGTTTGTTGTTTTACGCCGCACTCAGCAGTATTCCAGCTATATGACGACGGTCTGTAAATAATCAAATCTGGACCAGACAATCCAGTGATTGACATCATGAGCATCGATCCACGCAATTGGGATCAATGACATGCATCAACCAAGTCAGCGAGCCCGACCACCCGATCCCATTAGTCGCCTTTTACGACAAGCATAGTTGCCTTTTACGGCAACCTGAAGACCTATTCTACCCCAGATCTTCACGTCGCGATACGATACATATCCTGATAGTCTGGGTGTGATTTGTATCACCATACAGTACTTGTATTTCATAAGTTGATATTCTTTCTTTTTGCAGAGTGAGGTGACGTGAAATTGGGTTTAACGTCGCATCCAAGATTATTGCACTTATACAGCGACGTGCATGCACATGTGTGTGGCTGCTTGTACGAGTCCGGATTGATGCCAATTTATAGTGCTAGCTCACTGAGATATCATGCAGCAGCTTAACCATTCAGACACAGTATACAGACTCCGAGCCACAAGTCCTTGTTCTAGCCCCTTTATGTCGAGCGCCAGACAGGGTAACAACAAGTACCATCTTTTAACGTCTTTAGGTATGACGCAGCCGGGAACCGAACACAAGACCTTCCACTCTCCAGGCGGACGCTCTACCACTAGACCACGGAGGCTGTCCTTTTTGCAGGTGAATCAGGACTGTGAAAAATTTCAGATGTGGAAGATTGGATATTGTAGGGCAGAAACATACAGACTAGAGGGCACTGTGAATGTAATGCTATTTATAGCTAACCGGGAATTACTAGAGAATCTGCGCAAGCTGGTTTTCTGAACAGTTTTGTTAAGCATTTTAACTCTGTTATTATTCACATGTTTCTACACCAATATAACTTGTAATATATAATATTGTAAAACAATGTATTGTAATGTGGCCACAATACAATACTGTATCACCGTACCGTGACACCACTAATCCCTTCAACTGACCAGCATTGAAACTTATTACACTTGCTTCTTCCAAACCTGTGAATAATGTTATCTAAATCATGACAGAAACGGAACTGTACAAAGCACCTCCCTGACATGACCTCCTGCCGTGATGTCACTGGATGTCATCAGTTTAATCTTGTTGTCTAGATACCCATGTCACTCGGCATGCTCCTATGGTCAGTTCTATTTAATGTTGTTTGTTTGTTATAATCCAGATACATGATGGTGGTCTGTAAGTCTGGACCAGACAATCAAGGGATTCACATCATAAGCACTGATCTACACAATTGGGATATGACCACGTCAGCGAGCCTGACCACCTTATCCCATTAGTCGACAATTCTTACCATGATCTTTCTATTTAATGATGATGCGTATGCACAATTTGATCTTCTTCATTGTTCCCTACCAACAGTAAGATCGACCTCAGAAATTTGCCAACCTCAGAAAATCACTGCAATTTGCTGTGAAGAATGACATCCCTTAGGCATTTACAGCTATTTCTTAGTTTTGTCTGCAGTATTTATACGTATTCCTTAGTTTTGTCTGAAGTATTTACATGTGCTCCTCAATTTTGTCTGCAGTTTCTACATGTGCTCCTCAATTTAGTCTACAGTATTTACATGTGCTCTTTAATTGTCTGCGCTATTTACATGCGCTCTTTAGTTTTGTCTGCAGTATTTACATGTGCTCTTTAGTTTTGTCTGCACTATATACATGTATTCCTTAGTTATTTCTGCAGTTTCTACATGTGCTCCTTCATTTTGTCTGCAGTATTTACATGTGCTCCTTAGTTTTGTCCGAAATATTCACATATGCTCCTCAATTTTGTCAGCAGTATTTACATGTGCTCCTTAGTTTGGTCTGCTGTATTTACATGTGCTCCTCAATTTTGTCTAAAATATTTACACTGGATTGTCTGGTCCAGACTTGATTATTTACAGAACACCGTCTTATAGCTGGAATATTGCTGAGTGCGGCGTTAAACAACAAACAAACAAACATGTGCTCCTTAGTTTTGTCTGCAGTATTTACATGGGCACCTTAGTTGTCTGCAGTATTTACATGTGCTCCTTAAGTTGTCTGCAGTATTTACATGTGTTCCTCCATTTGGTCTGCAGTAATTACATGTGCTCCCTACTTTGGTCTGCATATTTACATGTGCTCCTTACTTTCATCTGCAGTATTTACATGTGTTCCTCCATTTTGTCTGCAGTATTTACATGTGCTCCTTACTTTCGTCTGCATTTTTTACATGTGTTCCTCCATTTTGTCTGCAGTATTAACATGTGTTCCTCCATTTTGTCTGCAGTATTTACATGTGCTCCTTAGTTTTGTCTGCAGTATTTACATGTGCTTCTTAGTTTTGTCTGCAGTATTTACATTTGCTCCTCCATTTTGTCTGCAGTATTTACATGTGCTCCTTAATTTCATCTGCAGTATTTACATGTGTTCCTCCATTTTGTCTGCAGTATTTAAATGTGCTCCTTAATTTCGTCTGCAGTATTTACATGTGTTCCTCCATTTTGTCTGCAGTATTTACATGTGCTCCTTAGTTTTGTCTGCAGTATTTACATGTGCTTATTAGTTTTGTCTTCACTATTTACATGTGCTCCTTACTTTCGTCTGCAGTATTTACATGTGTTCCTCCATTTTGTCAGCAGTATTTACATGTTTTCCTTAGTTTTGTCTGAAGTATTCACATATGCTCCTTAGGTTTGTCTGCACTATTTACATGTGCTCCTTAGTTTTGTCTGCAGTATTTACATGTGCTTATTAGTTTTGTCTGCATATTTACATGTGCTCCTTACTTTCGTCTGCAGTATTTACATGTGCTCCTTATTTTTTTCTGCAGTATTTACATGTATTCCTCCATTGTGCCTGCACTATTTTCATGTGTTCCTCCATTTTGTCAGCAGTATTTACATGTTTTCCTTAGTTTTGTCTGAAGTATTCACATATGCTCCTTAGGTTTGTCTGCAGTATTTACATGTGCTCCTTAGTTGTCTTCACTATTTACATGTGCTCCTTAGTTTTGTCTGCAATATTTACATGTGCTCCTTAGTTTTGTCTGCAGTATTTACATGTTCTCAATAGTTTTGTCTGCAGTATTTACATGTGCTCCTCAATTTAGTCTACAGTATTTACACGTGCTCTTTAATTGTCTGCGCTATTTACATGCGCTCTTTAGTTTTGTCTGCAGTATTTACATGTGCTCCTTAGTTTTGTCTGCACTATTTACATGTATTCCTTAGTTATGTCTGCAGTATTTACATGTGCTCCTCCATTTTGTCTGCAGTATTTACATGTGCTCCTTAGTTTTGTCTGCAGTATTTACATGTGCTCCTTAGTTTTGTCTGCACTATTTACATGTATTCCTTAGTTATGTCTGCAGTTTCTACATGTGCTCCTCCATTTTGTCTGCAGTATTTACATGTGCTGCTTAGTTTTGTCCGAAATATTCACATATGCTCCTCAATTTTGTCAGCAGTATTTACATGTCCTCCTTAGTTTGGTCTGCTGTATTTACATGTGCTCCTTAGTTTTGTCTGCACTATTTACATGTGTTCCTCCATTTTGTCAGCAGTATTTACATGTTTTCCTTAGTTTTGTCTGAAGTATTCACATATGCTCCTTAGGTTTGTCTGCAGTATTTACATGTGCTCCTCCATTTTGTCAGCAATATTTATATGTGCTCCTTAGTTTTGTCTGCAGTATTTACATATGCTCCTTAGTTTTGTCTGCAGTATTTACATGTGCTCCTTAGGTTTGCCTGCAGTATTTACATGTGTTCCTCCATTTTGTCAGCAGTATTTACATGTTTTCCTTAGTTTTGTCTGCAGTATTTACATATGCTCCTTAGTTTTGTCTGCAGTATTTACATGTGCTCCTTAGTTTTGTCAGCAGTATTTACATGTGCTCCTTAGTTTTGTCTGCAGTATTTACATGTGCTCCTTAGTTTTGTCAGCAGTATTTACATATGCTCCTTAGGTTTGCCTGCAGTATTTACATGTGTTCCTCCATTTTGTCAGCAGTATTTACATGTTTTCCTTAGTTTTGTCTGCAGTATTTACATATGCTCCTTAGTTTTGTCTGCACTATTTACATGTGCTTCTTAGTTTTGTCTGCAGTATTTACATGTGCTCCTAATACTTTTGTCTGCAGGTGAGCTAACAATTGCTATTTTATGTGGTAAGTGCTTCATTATTTTCCAGGTTGATATATATAAGAGTACATCTGACATGGGTACACGACTACACCATGTACTCATGCTATTGTATTTTCACAGGAAGTCACCTAGCTTCACAGACACCTTGGAAAGTCAATATAAACTCTGCCAAGTTCATTGGATGCATGGGTAATACAGGGATTCTTCCTCCCATATTGTGAGACTTTACAACATCCATGCCGTGCCCATGTTGGTGCTGCCTTGAGTAACAACACAGTTTTGCCTGCAGAAATCCATAACCTGGAGAATGACTTTCTTTATTCCGAGGAATTTACACATTCCAAGACAACTGCCTATACAGGCATGTCTTGTACACTCAGTAAGGTTAAGAGCCAAAACTGGAACATCTGGACACAGGCAGGTAGTACAAGCAGGTGGTGTCAGTTGGCAAAGTCATCGCTTCGGTGGTCTGGACAGTAATGTGGTAATCAGGATTGACTATCCTCAACTAGGTCAGACAATGACACAGCTCCAATGTTCACTCAGTTAAGCCCTCACTCTATGAAAGTTCATACTCCAATGAACTCACACAAAGTGAAAGTCAATTCTTAAATGATAAGTTAGGTATTAAACAATAAATTCTGAAATGTCATTTATTTTCATAGCAGCAATATTTTGCAGTATTAGCAGCAGACGGGACTGACATCATCAGCCTCAA